AATAATGCGGCAGTTATTGGATCTCAGAGTTTCTAGAATCTTTTAAAAAAATCAACGAAAAAGCAGATTCCTTCGAAAAGCAATAACGATTTAAACAATAATTCATGCTGCGCCAGCTGCTGAAATTCCGGGCAGATAATTAATTAACAATTAAAAATACGAATCGTTAATTCTGAGCTTGTACTACCTGAACGTGCGACGAAAGGAATGCCCGGAAAGTGGTGCGGAAATTGGCCTGTCGTGCCTGCTGATAGCATGCCAAATCAGCTCCTCGGACGCCACGCATATTGCCGCTCATCGGTGTATTTAGTGCTATCAGATGAAGCTGAAGGCTATTTTATAATTATTCATTAAAGTTTATTCATTCTGCAACAGCATGATCAGGACAGGAGAGCTAGTCGAGCACAAGGTGCGAACTTTTGTGTGAAAATGAAATTTTGTGAAAAAAACAATAAAGACGGTGAGTTGACTGTGGTATTTAAATTAGCTAAGTAATAAGCCGAAAGGTGGGACGCCGAATCCAAATACCGAACGAGTGAAAAAAAAGTATTAAAAAGTGTGTATAAACAGTGCATCGTCAGAAAAATTTATTTCGAATCAAAATCTTTTTTCTCGAATCCTGAATATACGCACAGTTCCCGACTGTTTGTTTGTTCGTAAGCAGTACCTATTGCTTGCATAATGTCTTTAGTAACACACAATTTTACAAATTAGCAAGATCGCCTGGACAAACAGTGTAAATTTTCTATCTTAGTAATGTTCCTGGGAAGCTCCCACTCGCTGGGCGCAAATACGCCAGGGTTTCGGTTCTGAGTTGTACAACCATGTTCAAAGGTAGTGCTGCATGATGTAATGAAAGGCAAGTTTCGGGTACTTTTATGATCAACAGTTGTGATAACTTACGACGAGATCTTTAGCCAGAAGACTAGGCGGTGGATAGCCAGGATGTCTTCGGTCTGGTTCCGGTCTCTCTCGATATCGCAAATCTTCGCGGTCGGGATATTGCGGTCGATGAGTAACCTGCCTCATCAAAATTTCATCTCTCTACTAATATTTTGTTAGATTGCTGGCACAAACATGTTATTTGTAATTTCCCAAAAAAAA